GGTTTCTTCCTCATATCATCTCGGGGAGTTTTTCCTTGCCACCGTCGCCACTGGCTTGCTCATTAGGGATAAATTCACAGTGATAAATTTAAATATTTACAATATATTTTTGTGAATCCATTTATTTCTGTAAAGCTGCTTTGTGACAATGTCCATTGTTAAAAGCGCTATACAAATAAAATTGAATTGAATTGAATCACTGGGTGCTCACTGAGATAAGCCGTATATGGCCTTTTGGGGAAATGGATGATTCAGCTTTCCATCCCTGGGCTGACCAGACTGTCCCATTTGAGAAGGGCTGCGAGATACAATCCACAGCAAAAGCTGTCCCATCAGCTGAGGGATGTGGAGCTGTGATCGTATAGTGGTTAGTACTCTGCGTTGTGGCCGCAGCAACCCCGGTTCAAATCCGGGTCACGGCATGGCCTTTCCCTGTTCTTCTTGTACTTTGGCCATTCTTTGTAGCCCACAGCCCTTCTCCAGTGGGGAAGTTGCTTGTTGCTTCCCTCGAAGCTGTGCAGTGGGAAAGTGACATGAAGCCATATCTCACTAGCCCAGGCCGAACATGTACCGGTGCATCGCCCACGAGATGTTTTTCAGACGTAATGACAATTCTCTCAACTGTGGAGCCATTGATCGTATAGTGGTTAGTACTCTGCGTGGTGGCCGCAGCAACCCCCCGTTCGTGTCTGGGTAACGGCATGGACTCACGGCATGGACTCTCCACATGGATTACGGGCCAGAAGATTCAGCTTTCCATTCCAGGCTGGCCAGGCTCTCTCTTACCCCATCCAAAGTTGTGGAGATAGTTGTTTGTTGACTTCCACAAAGCTCAAAGCTGTGCATGGTCTCCAGTGGGAAAGTTGTTTGTTGGTTCCCTTGAAGCTATGCAGGGTTGTGAAGGTTGCCAGTGGGAAAGTGAAGTGAGAAGGTATCTCACTTCCCCAGGCTGAACGTGTACCAGTGCAGCCCATGCTTCTTCCAGGAGATGATTTTCTGACATAATAGCAACTTTCCCGATTGAGACAGAGGCGTGTGGCATGGCCTTTCCTTGTTCCTCTTGTACTTTGGCTATTGTTTGTATCCCACAACCCTTCTCCAGTGGGGAAGTTGTTTGTTGGTTCCCTCAAAGTTGTGAAGGTTGCCAGTGGGAAAGCGAAATGAAACTTTATCTCACCATCCCTGGCTGGACGTGTACCAGTGCATCCCATGCTTGTGGATGCCATCCACACCGCCCTCACTTGGAGGGTAAGGACACATACATGAGAATGCTATTCATTGACTACAGCTCCGCATTCAACACAGTTATACCACACAGGCTCTCCGAAAAGCTCCTCACCGTCGGACTGACACCCTCCCTCTGTAAGTGGGTGCTGAACTTCCTGACAGACAGACAGACAGACAGACCCCAGTCAGTCAGAGTGGGAAACCGGACATCAGGCATCAGAACTGTTAGCACAGGGACCCCCCAAGGCTGTGTCCTGAGCCCACTGCTGTACACCCTCTTCACCTATGACTGCGTGGCCTCCTGGACCAAGACCAGGATAATAAAATTTCCGGATGACACCACAGTCATTGGACTGATCACTGGAAAATAATCTCCACTTAAATATAGGCAAGACCAAGGAGATGATTATTGATCCTAGGAGGAGGAGGAAGGAGCAGCACACCCCAGTCTACATTGGTGAGACAGAGGTGGAGAGGGTGAAAACCTTTAAATTCCTTGGAATTTATGTCAGCGAGGACCTCACCTGGTCTCACAACACTCAGCAGCTCCTGAGGAGATCCCAGCAGTGACTGTACTTCTTAAGAAGGCTGAGGAAATTTGGCATGTCAACCGAACTCCTCAGCAACTTCTACAGATGTACAGTTGAAAGTGCGATCACCAGCTCAATCACAGTGTGGCACGGAAGCTGCACTGTTCAGGACAGGAAAGCTCTCCAGTGTGTCATAAAAACTGCACAGTTCATCTGTGGAATAGCCTTCCTATCACTCCAGGACATTTACACCACCAGGGTCATCAGGAGGGCCCACAACATCATCAGGGACAATACACATCCACGACACAGTCTTTTCACATTTGTGCCATCTGGGAGATGCTACAGGAGCGTGAAATCAAGGACAAAAAGACTCACCAACAGCTTCTATCCACAAGCAATCAGACTCCTGAACAATACTTCAAACACTAATCACCTCACGCCCATCACCCCGACTGACTGTTATCCTGTTGTCACACAATGCACAGAGCACCTTACTTACTTACCAACGCAGGGACTGTATATTTTATTTTTTTATATATTATATAAATTTTTTTATTTTTTTTTAGGGAGACGTGCAAAGTAAGAAGTTTCATTGTATGGTATAAACTGCTTTGTTTTTCACCGTGCATATGACAATAAACCTCTTGAATCTTCATCCACGAGATGTTTTTCTGGCTTAATAATGACTCTCTCAACCATAGAGGGGTGTGTACTTTGGCCATTGTTCATATCCCACAGCCCTGCTCCAGTGGGGAAGTTGTTTGTTGGTTCCCTCAAAGTTGTGAAAGTCCCCAGTGGGAAAGCAAAATGAAACTTTATCTCACCATCCCTGGCCGGACATGTACCAGTGCATCCCATGCTTCATCCACGAGATGTCTGGGTTAATAACGACTCTCTCAACCATAGAGTGTAGGTTGAATCCGGGTCAAGGCATGAATTTTATGCTTCTCACTTGTACTCTCACTTTGATCATGGCCTGTAACCAGCAGCAGGTCTTGGGTGGGAATTATAATTGTACAATGATTTTAAAATGCTGTTTGTTTGCTTTGCTCTCCTGCACTGCAGTCACTCCATCTGCTCTTCAGAATATTTGTGCATGCGTGCATTACGTTTTACGGTAGCCTGTTTGCGTATAGAAAATGCTGTTCAGTCTTTCAGTTTCATTAAACACCCTACTGGAAAAAATTGGTCTAATTATAAGAAAGTGTTAAAACATATATTTATAAATACATTAATATTATTAATATTTATAATAAAGGCAAGTTACAAAAAATTATTTCCAAAACATCTGGAAATAAGAAGGACATAAATATGCAGCACCTGAGACACCTTCCAGTCCCTCTGACATTTAGTAGATGCTACAAATTTTGTTATTTTTTTATTAATTATTTTCCATATTACATTACAAAAAGGGTTAAAACTTTAAAGTTTAACAAAATAACCTCATTTATTAAATAAGTTATATATTTCAAGGTACTATAATGTGGAATATTTTAACATATTCATTTACTTGATCCACTAAATGATGACATTTTAAATGTTTATAATGTTTTTTTATTATTATTTTAATAAATGTTCGACATCATGGTTGCTTTATAGTTGTTATGGCACATGGCATTATAATGGACAGTTATGAACTTATGATTATCAATAATTATTATGGAATTATTTATAACACATTATTAGAGTTTTACAGAGAATTATTAAACTTGAAATGAAAATGCTTAATGTGTGTTTTATACATCACCAGTTTAATTTTACAACAAAAGAAAATACAATAATGGTAATAATGAGCACTGCTGCTCTTACCTGTGTATTTATACATTCATTGTATACATATACATACATATATATATATATATATATTTTTACATTTTTTTCTATTTTCTTATTTAATAAATGTACGTAGCTTGATGGGGAAGTGCACACTGAATCTTATTGTACTTGTATAATGACACTAAAGGTATTTATATTCTTAAAGAATATTGATTACTGTATAAAAGATGTCGTTGCAGTAATAATAAAAAATAAATGAATTAAAAATAATAATAACAACAACAACAATAATAATAATAATAAAATTGTTGTTGCTGCTGTTAAACGTTTAGGCAGTTCTATGGTTTCTATGGTTACGTGCACGACTTGCTCAACTGTCCAATCAGCGAACTGCTCGCGAGCATGGACTGATAACCAATCACAGCTCTAAGGGCGGGAAAGTACTTGCCCAATCCTAATGCAGGATAGGGATCGGAGGAAGAACAAGAGCCGTGTAGTTTTGTAGATACTTGGCGCGAAGCCCGCTTACTGCCTGTGCCCTATGGTCTCGCACATCCTCAGGTCGGTATGCAAAGGCAGAACGGAGACAGGAGCAGGACGGCTGGGATGGAGCAGCCCTGGGACTGGGCCAGTGGCACAATGGATAACGCGTCTGACTACGGATCAGAAGATTCTAGATTTGACTCCTGGCTGGCTTGGCTCTCCTTTATCCTCCTTTACCGGTGCTAAGGCACCGGTAGCGCCTTCCAGATGGGAGGAGGGTAAATAGTCCGTGATTCGGGTGAGAGGCGTCTTTGATAATGCCGTTCGCCCTCTGCAGGCAGTGTTTATTGTAAATGCTCTCGATGGTGGGTAGCTGAGTGCCAGTGATGCGTTGGGCAGTTTTCACCACCCATTGAAGGGCTTTTCGATCTGTTGCGGTGCAGTTGCCATACCAGACTGAGATGCAGTTGGTAATGACGCTCTCGATCGTACAGCGGTAAAAGTTCACGAGAATCTTGGAGCAGAGGTGGGCCTTTTTCAGTCTCCTCAGAAAATAAAGGCGTTGTTGTGCCTTTTTGACCAGAAAGGAGGAGTTCAGGGACTAGGTGAGGTCCTCTGAGATGTGGACCCCAAGGAACTTAAAGCTGGGTACAGGCTCAACAGTAGCTCCGTTAATGTGAATGGGAGCGCGAGTGTGATTCCCAGCATGTCTGAAGTCCACGATGACCTCCTTTGTTTTTTTGGTGTTGAGTACCAGGTTGTTGTCCCCACACCATGCCACAAGGTGCTGGATCTCCTTCCTGTAAGCCGTCTCATCGTTACCTCTGATCAGGCCTATCACCGTGGTGTCATCTGCAAACTTGATAATGCTGTTAGAGGCACGTACAGGTATGCAGTCATGGGTGAAAAGGGAGTATAGGAGAGGGGACAATATGCATCCCTGGGGAACTCCAGTGTTGAGGATGAGACTGGAGGAGGTGAGGTTGTCGAGTCTGACAGACTGTGGTCTGTTTGAGAGAAAGTCCAGAGTCCAGTTGCAGAGAGGAGTACTGATTCCAAGCTGTTTAAGCTTTAAGATTAGTTTGGACGGGCTGACTGTGTTAAATACTGAACTAAAGACTATGAACAGCATCCTGGCGTAAGAGTTGGGGTTGTCCAGGTGAGTCAGAGCAGAATGGAGCGCTATGGAGATGGCATCCTCTGTTGACCTGTTGCGGCGATAAGCGAACTGGTATGGATCCAGAGTGGGAGGTAGACAGGCTTGGAGGTGGGTGAGGACCAGCCTTTCGAAGCACTTTGCTATGACAGGGGTGAGTGCGACGGGACGAAAGTCACTGGGTGTCATTGCAGCGGAGTGCTTGGGCACAGGCACGATGGTAGCTGACTTAAAGCAGGTGGGGACAACTGCCTGAGCTAGGGACAGGTTAAAGATGTCTGTGAAGACTCCAGTCAGTTGCTCTGCACAGGCTCTAAATACCCGGCCAGGGATGCCATCGGGACCAGCTGCTTTACGTGCATTAACCCTGTTCAGAGTAGCTCACACTTCAGAGGTGGAGAGTGTGAGTGGCTGCTCACCTGGTAGTAGCTCAGCCTTGAGCATGGGCTCCATCCTCCCTTTTTCAAAACGAGCATAGAAGTGGTTGAGCTCGTCTGGGAGTAAGGCAGAGCTTGTTGGAGGTGACG